GCTGTCCTTCCTCAAGCCGTTATTCCTTTCGTTTTCATACAGCATGAAGCTGAACTGAAGAACATGCTGTAATTGTGTCTACTTTCTCCTGCTGTGTTTGAGCACAGAAAAGCCTGTTACAAGGCTTTCTCTTTCACTTGAACAACTTATGGTGATGAGGTCAATGATCACTGTCATTCAAGCTTAAATTAGTGAAAAATGGTCATGGACTTCTTTTACTACTTCAGTTAGTGACTTTGATTCCGGAGATAAATTTTGTTTCCTTTTTTCCTATTATATTGCAGAAATTAGGTTTTCTCCCATTTTGGTTTTAACTGGATTTTGTTAAGACAGACAAACTTCCCCAGCTAAAATTCTGTCCCTCTGTGAAAGTGATGGAAGAAACGTCAGTGTTGAATTTCAGGTGAACCTATGGGATTCACAGACTTCTAAGTTCCCATGAAGTTTCAATCATTATTTTTTCCTGGTACTCTGAACAGACTTCTTTGTGTTCTTCTGAGCCAGCAGCCCATCAATTTGTCTGAAAGTTAATGGAGTCTTTCCTTTTGCTAAGCATTAACAATATGCTGAAGTCTTTGCTCAGTGAGACTTTTCAGAGGTGCAGTTTGTGCTAATCAGATTAAATTTTATGTTCTGTTAAAAGGTAGCTGCCTAGTCATTTGGTCAGCTGGCTCGTTACTGCATCAACATGTAGTAAGGAAGTGCGGAGGAACTCTTTGTTCCTCATTCTCCTCACAGTGAACTCTGGGGGGAAAACGAAGATTGTGAAGGGAATGGCAGAAGAGCATCAGTTGTTCTGTGCACCTCAGGCCCATTAAGTTATGTGCAGAGAAGAGTTTTCTGTTTTCTGTGGTCGGTCACTTCATTCCTGCAGGGTGTGTTCAGGCAGCGCTGAAGGAGCGGAGGAACAGCTGGAGGAGAGAACAAAGCCGTCAGTGGCACCCCTTGGAGGAAGGATGGACTAAGCCCCAGGAAACAGCTGATAGAGCTAAACTCAGCTTGTTTTTTTTCCTCTGTTCAACAGTTCTTGTGCCATGGCAAACAAAGGACAGACGTTCTGATTTGCTATACTGTTTGCTTTGAGATATCAATTGAATTTGTTTTGCAGAGATCTGTGGGAAAAGCTAGAGGGTTCTAAATCCCGTTTCTCCCCATTTGCCTGTTTCTGTGATAATGAAAACTCTGGACAGCTCTGTTTCTTTCTTCCTGTATTTTTAAGAAGCTGGGATAGTGATGTTGTTCAAAATACTTTCCCTTCTTGGGACAGTAAGCTGAATAGGATGTAGGGGCAGGAGCTGCGCTATGCACCACGTTCTGCTGGCAGTCCAAGTACCCTCAGCTGTACTGGGAACCCAGTGCACTTAGTGCTTCTCAGGGTCACATCTTGTGTTGTTCAAAGACTATAATTATGTGGCCTTTTAAAAATTTATACAGAATCACATTTCACAAAAGAAACAAGGTATCTTTCAGATGACTCAATTCTACTGTGTCCTGTCAAACCACAGTAAAAGCAACAATTACACCTAACAAAATTTCTTTGCTAATGTATCTAAGAACATCACTTGGTCATTGCATTTTAGATGATTATTGAAATCCTGCTCTTTGGGCTGTTTCCAAGCTGGGGAAATTGAGGGAAGTAGATCATTTAATCCTTGTCAAAAAACAAGTATATTAAAAATTTTTTAACAGAAAAATATTTTTGCATTTCAGACAGTGAATGCAAATGAAGCATTCTGCTCACCATAACGAAAGGTTGTGCTAGATGGAGAGGAAGCAAAAAAAATGGCCAGCATTGCACTGACTGAACTTGGAAAAGCCATGTGCGGTGGCATATGATTCTGCTTTCTGTGGGATATTATAAACTGCTTTGTCTCCTAGTGAGAGTTGTGCAGTTTGACAGCTCCATTCGCTAGGCTGAGAATGTGTTTCTCTCATACCTGCCTAAATAAACCTTTCCTGAGTCGTTGAGGCTGTCCTTCGTGCTGCCGCAGAATCTCTTTTCCTTGTAAGATTGTAAGAGTTTTGACATCTTGTTCTAGTAATGATTACTGCACAGATGTGAGGCTGTAGCTTCCTACCAATGCCATCTACTCCTCAAAAATACAAGTGGGTCTTCATTTAAAAGGTTTATTTTCTTTCAGTTCCACGGGTTAAATAATTTCTGTTTCCTGTTCTGCATTTAAATACTTAGGGTTTTATCAACTTTCTTCCTAAATGAAATATTTTGCCAAAGCTCTGCATTTTGAGCTGCTGGCAAAGGACTAAAATTTAAGCTCTTTTCTTCCTTTTTTTTTTTCATATTACTTTAAAAAAAAGAAAAAAAAAAGAAGTTGATATATGTGTGTCTGGCCACTTAAAGATCACTGATCAATACTTTGGAAATGTCTCTGTTTCTAGTGGGTTTTCTTTGGATTTTCTTTGTTTTATTTTCATTTTAGGGGTCATGAGATTATACTAGATTGCTTTTTCTCAGCCTGTTCCTTTGCTATTAATCCTAGAATTAGCAATAATCTTCAGGATGGAGAAAGATTTATTTTAAATTTAGGTTCAAGTTTTTATGAGTGTTCGTGAGAAAAACGGCTCACCTGGAATACTTTGACATAGAGCAACAACATTTATTTCAAGGTTTCTTTTGAGTTGGGTCAGCACAGAACAATAATAGCTCAGAAGATTTCAGGATACCAAATAGAGTGTTGAAGATTAACTTTCATTCACACTCTAACCAGGTCCACCATTCCCAAGGAAAGCTTTTGTTGATCCATCCCTGTTTTCAATCAAATTGTTCTCATCCGGTGTTTTAGCCTATATGCCCTTGCTTCCTGTTTTTCTAAGGATTATGTCATATTGCAGTGTTCTCTATAGTGTGACTTACTGAAGGCTCTGTGTGGAAGACACATATGGAAGAGATCGATCTTACTTGGCACCTGTTTCTTCTGAAAAGCCAAGTGGGAAAGAAAGGAGAGGCAGTCTGGGAGGGAGCTCTCTTGAGGCACCTTGTTGGCCGCAGGGTGACATGCTGACTTTTAAATGACAAATTTATCCAGTTCCTGTATGATGATGCTAACTGGCAGCAAAGCAGTGTCTTGTCAGAAAGTGCTGTCAGGGCACCTTGTAATGATGCTGTGATCCGTCAGTTGTTCAAGGCATTAGTACCCTAAAACCAGCTCCATCTCAGTAAAACTAAGAACGTTTATTGCTTCCCAGAAGAAGCAGCAAAAATATTCCAGAAGCATAATCAGTGTCTGTGCTCTCTAATGCACAATGAGCTGTCTCCATCCTTTTGTACCAACATTTCTCAACTGTTCTCAGCCCCTCCGCTTCCTTCCAAGTTTCTTGATCTTCAGCCAGGTGGGCTGGGGTTCTGCAGGTCATATTGGAGCACTTCTCCTTTCTGTGTGGCAAAGTAATCACACACAAAAATTGAATGCTGTCAGGATTTCTCTCAATATTAACTTAGATGGATCCAATGCAAACAGTATAAATTATGTGAGGAATGATTTGTGCTGCTGTCATGGCTCCCATTGAACTTCTGTGGTTTTAGTGGGGGAGGTACCAGTTCACTTTTAACCCTTTCTTTTGCTTTCAACCTGGCTGATACATTTTTTTTTTTTTTCCTCATTTCACTTCTATACATCAATCAAATTAAGGACTTTGCTTTGTATCTCTGAAAAATGTAACTTCATTATTAACTGTAGCATATATGCCATCATATGAGCTGGTAAGAGCTGAAGTTCATAGTGAAACATGACTTGTGAACTAAAATTCACCTGTAGGGCTTTTATTCTTTTCACAAACATAGTTTTCCCAGATGAGCTCTAGTTTTAGTCACACCTTTCTCACTCTCTTTTGCTTCAGAGTGAATCTCTGTCACGTAACCGAGTTCTGGTGGTAGTAATGATGACCATCTTGAGTACGTCTGGGAGGATTTTGTACAAGCATTTTGTTTTCATTTCAAATGGTAATACTACTAAAGCTCAAATAACTTCTGACATAGTTATCAGCATTAGCTGAATCTGGCAAATACATGAAATAAGGTCTAGAATTAGATGTGGTAGAGTCAGTTGAGAGAATGCTTTGACTGAAATTTCATATACTGAGTGATGTAACAGTGCATCAGGAACTGTATAGAGTGGCTCACCTTCCCTTCCATCCCTGGTAGATCAGCTTACTGAAGAGGCAGCAAGAGCTGTTGTGAATACTGTGGAGTCTGTCCCCCAGCTGGGAATGTGCCAGGCCTGTGCCTGGGGGAAGGCAGACAAATTCCCCTCTCCAAGAGTGGTCAGCTCTTCTTTTGGAGGCTTGATTAGTCCTTTCCTTTATTCAGAGCTTTTTCCAGTCAAGCAATAAGAACTAGTTTTTTCACCTAAATAGAAGTAATTACTAATTACAATTGTCTTTGGTTTACTTTCATACAATGGTTTTAAGAGTTTTTCTTGGCCCTTGATGGTCATAGTTCCTTGCAGAAGACAGTAGGGAATGTGACTGATAACTTCCCACCACAGCTTGGCTGCCAGCTCCAAAATGTTCTCACTGGCAAGAATCCCCTTGTTGGAGCAGAGTTGCAACCACTGAACAGGGAGAGTGCAGAAAGTAGCCTGATATTCATCCTTTTTCAGTCTTTTTAAAATGATTGTATTGTGTTGTGTTGTATTTGCAAGACAAAACTAGTGATGTTCTTCAGCAGGAAAAATGTTAAGATGAAAGAAGACACATAAAGATTAATTTTGAAAGACACCCCTTTATGCAGAAATTGTATAGACGTTTCACCTTTGAAGAATGCATTTAAAAGTTTTTTCCATAGGCTAAGATGTTTAAGGACAGAAATAGTCCTTGTGCTAAAACATAGTTGCTGCTCAGTTTCTAGATACAAAGCCAACCTATCATTTGTATTACTAATATTTTTTAAATTATAGGCTATTTAATCTTCGCATTTTATCTTTGTAATCTTTGTATTTCATTATTGACATTGTGTAATAAATCTGTCTGTATGTTTGCTGTAGGCTGGGACAAATGGTTATATGGCTCCAGAAATCCTGAAGGAAGAAAGTTACAGCTATCCTGTGGACTGGTTTGCTATGGGATGTAGTATTTATGAGATGATTGCTGGGCGAACACCATTCAAGAATTTCAAAGAAAAGGTCGATAAGGATGAGGTTAAACGAAGAACTCTGGAAGATGAGGTGAAATTTGAACATGCCAACTTTACAGAGGAAACAAAAGATATTTGCCGACTGTTTTTGGCTAAGAAACCAGAGAATCGTTTAGGAAGCAGGTATGCCTAATTTCTCACATTCAGAAAAAAAGCTGCATGAATGCCACAAATAATAAACAAATATTATAAATAATAAATTATAAATTTTAAATTTATTAAATTTTATTTAAACAAATAATAATTTTTACACAAAATTAGGTTAGATCTACCCTTTCTACAGAGTACTGAATTTTCTCCTTCATTTCCAGGAAGAGAGGTGGAAGTTTTTGAAGATAAAGTGGAAATAAAGAGTGTTCTTGCAATACTGTAATTGTCCATCCCTACCCCAGACTACCCACAGGAGTTCTTTTGTTGTTATTTTGAGGGGTCAAACTCTGCAGTTCTGGGAGCTGGGAGTGGCCATTTCTCTTGCATCTTCTTTCCTAAAGCAGAAGGTATTTACGTAGATACCTGAATCTATGCTAATGTAGGCTAAATGCAGAGTCTCTGTCTATATCACTTACAGGAATGATGTAGGCAGAAATCCAGATCTGCAGTACAGATTTTCTGTCTTGCAGATGCCTAACTTACAAGGCTGCGTCATTGGCTTCTTACTGAAGAGACCATTCTCTTTACTCAATTGCTTTTAAAAATCTGGTAGAGGTTCCTGATTTTTCTGACTCATTCCAGGAACAAATGAGAGAAAAAGAATATTGGACACAAATAAGAGTGGTTTTTGGGACTTCAGTGATGGCTTTGAGTTGATGAATACTGATGGATTTGTCCCTGACTTAGCAATTTGGTCAAGTTATTTCAACGAGTCTGAAGCAAAAGCAGTGACAAATTATTCACTTAAAGTAACCACGTTCCCTTAGCTAAACTGCAGTTATTCTGCCTGTTTACTGTTGCATTAATTCTGAGCAGTATCAGAAATGTTCAAGGATAAATAATTGCAAGGGTTGTTTTTAAGGTACTGCCTTTTAAAATATTGTTATCGAGATGTGTTGTAAAAATGTTTGGATGTATCCTGTGTCTGGCCATGACAGAATAAAAGCCTTTATGTACGTTTTAAATAGGGAGATACTATTCAGGACAGCTCATCCTTATGTAAAGATTAGCACTGTAATTCTAATAAGGACAATAAGACCTTGGGTTATCTACATAAGTGCCTGTTGCATAAGTTAAAGCTGCTAAAGGACAGCTTTAATTTGTACACCTGACCTTTTAAAATATCTCACTTTTTAATTGAAGACTTTATTTCCTCAGTTAACCAATGGCATTAAGTAACACTTTTTCTGTGCTCTAGCTTTTTGGGATTCACATCTCTGTAGCCCACATCTTCCTGTATGTACAGTGATTTTCTTTTTTTGTGGAGGAATACAAAACTGACGGAGTTTAGATGAGCTCATTTGTTCTTTCCTCTAAGTTATATAAACATGCAGTTCACAGAGGAAGAGCTCAAAATCATCTGCAGTTAGTTGGAAGATGCCTCAGTTGGTTCCAGTAGATGGCGTTCCTGTAGCTTCATGTTTTTAAACTTTTTATGTTTCTAATGGTGACAGAAAATACATCAGGAAGAAAAACACCACAGCAATCCAGCTGGAGCCTTCCCCAACATCTAATGCTTTTTGGTTTATGTTACAGAAATGAGAAGCAAAATAAAGTGAAATTTTTGTGAGTACCTCTGTCTAATAGGATTGTCGGCACTATTAGCTCTCTAGTGTCACAGGGCACTAATTAATCTGAGCAGCAGCTCTAATGCCCTACAGGCTAACAGCAAATGTAAATAAATCACATCAAGCTCGAGAGCTGTACAGGTACATGGTATTATCACTAGCTAGTTAAACTAGAAGTTGATTTTGCAAGATTATGCATATGGAGAGGCCGTTATCTCTATTGGCTTAATCTATACTTTAATAATTATCTTCATATAGCTCGTTTGGATTGAAAATGTCATTATTTCATTGGTTAGGGTACCAGGATGGCAGCATCTACTGTTCTTCAGGCTGTATCTTACCATTATGGTCATGGTGGAGTACAGTTTTTAGTGGCTGGTGGTGACTTTCTCAGAGGAACCAGGCAGCAGAAGCACAGAATTATGGTTTTCTAAGGGAGCTGAAAAGGGCAGCTGGCAGTTTCATCTCATCTGTGCCTTATTTCAACCAGGGCAGGCCAGAAGCATGGCAGGGAGGTTTATTAGAAAATGGCAGTAGTAGCAAGCCAGAGAAGCTGTTCTGTAAACATCCTATAAGGTCTTAAAGATTTTCTGTGGTCATGCAGGTCTGCTACTTGTGCATGGCAGTTCTTTACATCTACAGTGATAAAAAGATTAAGATTTGCATTACAACTTGTTCATAGAGCATTCTCTAGAAATGCATGAGGGCTTAAATGTTTTTTGCTAAGTATTTTTGTAAGGAAATGGAGAAGGACAAAAAGGAACAATAGCAACTATCGTTTGTTGAAATTAAGAAAAAATACATTTGATTATTACATTTGATTATCATTTTAAGACCCATGAATTTTAAAAAAACAAAAACAAAAAGCCACAAAAAAACCTACAAGAAAACAACAACATAAGCATGAAAAAAGTAAAGCAATCCACCCTGCTCCTCTTTTAGCTGTAATTCTAAATACAAACTTTGTGTGACTTGGTGCTAGAGTTACATTATGGGCAAGATGCAAATCTAAAGCTGTGGTCATTGATCATGCTTTAATGACCATACATTTGAGGCTCAGATTATTCTTAGACTCATAGACAGGCTTGTAGAACATGATACAGTGAAAGAATTCACTGTTTCTATCACATCAAAAGTCATACCTGAGGTCTGCAGTTGCTCTTTTTAAAGTGTACCTAAATACATGTATTTACAGTGTCTTGATTTTATTCTTGGGTTCTAAAGATACTTCAAAAAAATTGTGTTTGTGACAGAGGTGCGCATACTCTTGCTGATGCCATAATTTGTGAGTCCCTTTGCTCAGCGATAAGAGTAGTTCCGTTAACTGACTCGCTAAAGCTACTTAACTGGGCTTTGCAGTTAGTTGCTTTAAATTAAGAGAACAAATGCCGTTTGTCAGTTTCCTGTTCAGACTGTTTTTCATCCGTCAGTCGCTAGATGTATTAAACCAGACTGGAATTTACTAGATGTTCTTATCCTTTTATGTCCTGAGCCAACCACTGGACTTTTTGTTGTTGGCCAATCAATCCAATACTTCCTATCCCCCTTTTGCAAACTCTTCAGCTCCAGTTAAAGTGTATCTTTGGACGTGGGTATCTCAGTGTACTGCCAGAAGCAGCGCTGCTGCTCTTGCGTGGCATCTTGCCCAGACTAATTTACCTTGAGAGATAGAGAAATGAATAATGGGATCGGGATGTGTTTGGTTGCTGTTCAGTGCAACACTGTTTGAATATACTTGAGCTGTGTATGATTGCATTGCTTTGTATATATTTAATATATCCTTAATTTAAGATGCTCTCATGTATACAACACAAAGACAACTGTATCTACTGGAGAGCAAAATACTGCAGTAATTAATAATCTTTTGCTTTATTGCAGAAATGAAGATGATGACCCAAGAAAACATAGCTTCTTCAAAACAATAAATTTCCACAGGCTAGAGGCGAACCTTATTGACCCTCCATTTGTGCCAGATCCATCAGTTGTCTATGCCAAAGATGTTGCAGACATTGCTGATTTCTCTGAAATACGAGGAATTGAGTTTGATGACAAAGACAAGAAGTTCTTCAAAAAATTTGCGACTGGTGCTGTCCCTATACCCTGGCAGGAAGAAATCATTGAAACTGGACTGTTTGAAGAACTGAACGATCCTAACAGGGTAGATTCTGGCGGATATGCAAATGGAGGTGAAGCTAAGTCAGGAGTTTGTTTGTTGTTGTAAATATCAGATTGTTACCAAAAAGATTAGAAACAACTGCAGAACTTTCCGTATTCTGACACTGCTTCAGAAATTCAGTGCATCTGTTTAAGAAGAACTAATCAGTGTAATATGGCATTGACAGGCCGTGTAGACCACAAGCTGTATTGACCGTATTAGTTTCCTTTATCCTAGCAAGGGAGATAATACTTTCGTTTTACTGGAGACTTAATCAAGATGGACTGTATTTCTGTAAGGAGCTTAGAATGATAGAAATTCTGAAATACAAAAAGCAGTCATAGAGTGAAGAGGCATCTCCTTTGCAGTGTTACTGACTCTACCATTTTGAATACAATAATTTATTGACTTTCTGTCTATTTCCTTGTCGTTTCTATTAATGTTTCCTCTTTGTTCTACAGTTTTCAGGATATACTTTTTAATATTTGGGTAATATTAGACAACAGACTCAAAGCCTAGGTCAAACTTGGATGCTTATTGGTTAGCCAGTCTGTCTTGTTTTCCTAATTTCTGTTAGATTTTTGGTTGGTTTGATTGCCATTGAATGTAAAAGAAGGCTTTACAGGTGGCTGTAAAATGGGACCTTCAGGATCAAATTTTTTCAAAGCTGATTTTAACAGAGTGAAGAGAAGCATGCCCCAGTTTAATTGAATAAAACGTTTATTAGGCATATTATGTATTTATAAGTGAATATCCATTCTTTTTGACAATCAGTTTCAACCTTTTATTAGATCTCCTGATAATAATTCTGTATTTTGCTGATAAATTAAACTATGAATAGACCAAAGCAATTTGTAGCCAGCTCTTTACAAGAAATATATTTTCATATAATACAAACATTAATTCACTGACAAATATACAATATATGTATGCAAGTTGACATCTTCATCTTCAGCTGCTCATCGATTGTTATGCAAATTTTGAGGCATCTTTTTATTATTAATTTTATTACAATCTACGTAGAATTAATTGGAAGCATTTAAATGAATGCTTGCTAATGCTGAAGTCTATTATTTGTGAATCACATCTTATTGTATTCTCTGGTAAGAAGATAATAGGTGGTCGTGTTTTTCTAACTTCTGAATTTGATTATGTATGTCGTTTACTGTCTTTTATCTTGCTATAGTTTCCATTGACTAAAGTGGGATTAGAAACTACTCTGAGTCCTAGAGGCTGCTAATACTTTTTGTATTTTTCACAGAGCAAATGTCCTCCTTGGTTCAACTATCTATTTTGTATAGACACTGTGCTATTCAGAAAGAGGAGTAACCGTAGATAAGCTGTCTTCTATAATTATATCTGTTGTGCAAACATGGCTTCATTGATTATTAATAATTGAATACCTCATTCCAAATGGTGCAATAAAAAAAAAAATTCTTTAGTATTAAATATTTTAAGTGCTTTAGTCACAGGCAAATAATGTGTTGGAAATACTTTGTGTTGTTCTTCATTTTCTGTGCAGAGGATTAAGCTGAAAAAGAATTGTTCCTTTCTTTCCTTTTAAATTTGCTTTTCCAGTGTTTTATATTTATTTTTTTCAAGAGGAAAAAAAACCCCAAAACCGTGAAAAAGAGCATCAGTGGATAATTCTGTTCACAGATTGTTGTGAATCTGTAATTGTCTGCCTTTGGGAGGAAGACTTTCTGTAAAATGGTGTAAAAGGAAATAAGCTGAATTCTGACTTGGGGTTTTAATTGAGAAGGATGATCCTGGAAGATTGCCATAATCATGGGAGGTTGAGAGGAAAGATGATCATGTGGATCTGTCAGGGTGGTCTTAGGCTAAAATATTTATTAATTTAAGAAACTCGGGCAGAAAATTTGATTATGTCTAGATTTCAGCAACAGCGGTGTTGTTACAGCTAGGAGAGGCCTAATAGTGCTAGTGGCGTAGAGCATCGAGCTTGTGTCCTGAACTGCTTTACGTCTCACAGCTGTGCAGATGCCACTTCACAGCCTCTCTGAGGCCATAAACCAGCGCTCTGAGTTGGCTGTAGTTTTTCTAGCACGTAAATGACTTCTTCAATATACAGATGTTCCCATAAGGAAAGAAGTTATGTATAGACAGAATCAGAATTTAATGTGATGTTAGTCGTAAATCCTCTGTGGTACCAAATGTTGCAAGTCTGTGGTTTTCAAAATATATTGCAACACTGAGGTTTGTGAATTCAGGATATCATCTGTGCATAATATTTTGTTACTTAGTTTTTGAACAGTTGTAGTGTCAATAAATCCCAGCAACATCTTTACCAGTGAGATGCTGTAATGTTAAGTGTTCCATGAATCATTGGAAGAAGCACATTAGTAGTTTGATAATGCACCATTTGGCACTATATTCCAGAAGAAAATGAGTTAGTTTGACATTATTGGTTTTCATTTTCTACAATTCTCTATTTCAGAACATGGACAATTTGTATTTGCACTGTGAAGAGGTAGAACAGAACAGATGTTATAAATGTATTTCTGTTAGCGTTTTCAGAGCATCTTTTAAAAAATTAATTTCAGCTTCTTTTAAGGACTCTGTAAAGTGCAAGATTCTTTGCTTCTTCCTGTTACTGTAAAACTGTTTGTTATGCTTTCAGGAACACAGTTACTTTTAACATCTTGTTTCACCTCAACAAAGGAAAGGCAGCAATCCTGAAAGGTGTATGCCTCTGATGAACTGTCTTAGTGAAGCCAATGATGCTACTTGTGTGAGTAAATTTCAGTGTTTGTGTGAGTTGGAAGAACTGAATCATTTTATAATAGAAGGATAGAATAGATGTTTACAATAGAAAATGGGGAATGAAGTTGTGGGAGGAGAATAATCTTGAGATTGTGAGATACTTCTGGCAAAAGTAAATTATGTAATTTGAAATTGCTTTTTTTCTTCAGGCTTTCTCCTCCTTTGCCAGCTTTATGGCACCATGCTTGTCTGCCTCTTTTCCAGGCATATAAAATGCATTTCAAGTGTTAATCTAATCTGAAAAACTAAATTGTGAACTCTATTGGATTAAATGCCATCCCTCAAAGGCTACTGAGTACCCTGGTCACTCTGTAGTGACTGTTGTTACAGTGCTTTATAAGACAAGTGGTGCTGTCTTTCCTGCCCTGTTTTACATACTGCTGCTGTTAAAGTACCTGATAATTTTAATTGAAGCTGAAATGGGAGGTTCATAATAGCTTAAAGTCTACTCTTATGTGAACATCTTGTGCATTACTCTGGCCAACTCTGAAGAAAGGCCACTAGCAAAGAGAATGTAAAAGGAAAAGCTTTCCAGTGCATCTCAAGTCCAGACTTTCTTTGCTGCCCTCCCAGGTACCATTACCTCCACCAGTCTCACTGAGCTCAAAGAGTCAAAATAAGTTTTAGTATTAACCTAATTAAGTCATTGAAGTTGAAAAATTCAACTGAAGAGCAGTTCACTGAAGGGCAGTGAAGCTAGTGAAGGGTCTAGAGCACAAGTCTTACAGGGTGTGGCTCAGGGAACTGGTTTTGTTCAGTCTTAAGAAGAAGAGGCTCAAGGGAGACCTTATCGCTCTCTATATAACTCCCTGAAAGGAGGTTGTGGCAAGGTAGCTCCCAGGTAACAGCAATAGCACAAGAGGTACTGGCCTTCACTTGATTTAGATTAAGAACTAAGATCTCAGCAACTATAGCTCATAGCATGACAGAACTGCTGTAGGTCCTGTCGCTTAGGTTTGTTTGTGTGGAGTTCTCTGTTGTTTTTGTTTTGCTAAAAGAAAATTCTGGTTTTTTTCATGTGACAAGCCATCAATTCTGAAATCTAGATAAAAGAAATAATTGACATTTTATGTTAGGAGGCGTATAAATTGTTATGGTTAAAGGTCATTCATGATCATTTCATTTTAGAGAGAACGTTTTGAATGTTGCACTATGATAGCCTTAGGGAGCTTCATTAGACACGTTAAAGAATGCATGGAGAGAAATTGAAGGCAAATGCAATTAAGCGTTAGGTTATTTTTTTATAATTAGGCATTGCATTATTACAGCAAGTAATTTCAAACCCAGTATCTCACTTAAATTTGGCAATCTTACTGTTGCTTTGGGAAATTTGGGGTTTTTTTGTTTTTTATTTTCTTAGCTTTGTTCAGGTTCAGACAGTTAATGCAAGTTTCTCATCAGCGCTTTTCAATTGCAGAAGTCTGAATAAATACTCAGTATTCATAAGGGAGGAGAAGTCTCTTAGGCATCTCTTGCTGTAAGAGAGGAGGAACAAAAACACAGGACTGTAATTGCAAGTACCTGGATCCATGGTAAATGGGCAGATAAATGATGACATCTGTGCTGCACCATTCACATGAGTTTGTTTCTCTTGCATGATATAATATTGTTCTTAAATTTATTGCCACATCTGTATCCTCATCTGTTGTCTACAGAAGGTTGGCACGGTTCTGAGTGAAGCCACTAACTTTCAGGGAAAGTTCACTCAGAATTGTGCCAACCTTCTGTAGATAAAAGGGAAAGTTAGTCCTCCAGCTTGGACAGACAAAATGTGCCACAAGACAAAACAAAAAAAATGTTGTTAACAGCCTTTCAGTCTGCTCCAATAGGTGAAGGATTTTGTGGGGAAAAAAGCATAGGAAAAAAACATGAGTATCTCTGAAAGGGCATCTGGATATATTAGGTCTACTCCTTTCCCTCTGACATCTTTGGAGCAGCTAAAGTGGTTAAATCCTCCCTTTGCTATTGCCCAAGTGCTCGCACAATTGATTCTAGGAGTTGTTCTAGCCTGTTTGTGGTCTTTGTGTATGCTTTTCAATGCCTGAGCTTTGTTAGTAGGCCAACTCCTTTCAAGTGTTTTGGTTTCTGATTAATGTACATAAACAGGGTGCTATTACAACATTTGGTACAATGGCTTATGAGGAATGAAAATTTTCATTTTTCTTCAGTGCACAAACATTCCTTGAAGCTAAACATAACTAATTAATTTTGACATGTTTTATCAGAGCTGTTCTTTGCCAAACCTACATGTTGGCCTATATGATTCATTCAGGTCATTCTGACAGTTATATTGTGCAGAATGGAAAGATACAGCACGGCTGAACTCACACTGTACGCATATCCTAATGATGGGAGTTCCACATGGTGAATGTTCCGGTGATTCATGTTTTTATAAAGAATGCCAAAGGGATGACTCTGGATGTATCAGTTGTCATAACTTGTAGTTCACTTAACAATAGTGGAGTAACTGTTTAAAAAAGCAGCTATTGTACAGGAACGTTTAGCTAGGTTTGCTTTGCAAGGCTTCATGCAAGCATGACATAGGATGTGCTAGACATGTCTCGTGACTTCTGAATTGCTGAGGTAAAAGTTCCACTGCAAGTAAGAACAGATTTGTTGAGTGGTCCTGTCAGCACACATTCACACAGAAAAACATGCTGTTCTGACTGGATGTTCACACATGCTGTTCTGACTAGATACCTTTTGAACAATTATGAAAGCCAGTTATGAAAGCTTTGTTGTAACTGTGCTGCTAGCCTGCAGTACTCAGTTACACATCTCTCTGTGGAAATACCTTCCTAGAACTGCAATAAGCAAAATTGTTCCAGTCTCCTGGACTTCTCAAGAAGAGGCAAAGCGGAGTGTAGTCATCATAGTGGTTGTTTCTGAGGGCTTAGCCTACTTCTGATGCCATCAGTGTGCAAGACAGACGTAATATGCAAGGATATGAAGGTG